CAGACATGGCTGCAGAACATATGGATCTAGAGCTGCTTTTCAATTCCATGGAGAAGATGAGTGAAGTAATTAATAACTTTTACTGGGCCAACTTCTGTTGGCGAAAGAGACAAGCTTTCAAGCACCACAGACCTTTTTTTCCAATATTGGACACTTCCATGTACAGATTCCCACACCGAAGAAGAAATCTTGTAGAAGGAGGACATCCTTACCGGTTCAATGATTGCAGGCTCTCCCTTCTGTCCTTTCTCACCTCGTGGGCCACCAATCTGTATCACACCAGAGAAACACAGGCAGTGAGTTAAAGAGGATATACACTAGTTTCAGTTAGATTCAGACTAGGAACCAGTTACTGGAGGATTGATGTGCCGGCGATCAATCTTCCAGAGTTTGATTTAGTGGGTTTAGTAAAGACCTGATAAATCAAACACTGAGGGTGCCCCCGATCGACCGAGGTACCTGAGGAGTAAGAGAAGTCAATGAGAGCAACCTCAGAAAAATCAGCGTAAGGTACGATGACTCCAGCTATACAATTGTTGAAGCTAGAATTACGTATCTTACACCAATTTTTTCCACTAGTATAGACTTGGTCCAAGACACAGTCAGCAGAGCCCACACTACTCAAGGGCAAAACTTGGTGCAGAAGACTCATAAAAAAGAGCAAAGACTTATTTTGTTACTACCTAAGTTTCTGTTCCATCTCTCTAGTGTACTGCAGTATCAGGGGTCTTGTAGAGTGGATTAGTTAAATTACATTGAATTTCTATGTGGACACACTTTTTCAAAATGTAAGTAGCCTTAATCTGATTTCACTTTAACTCATTTTGTAAGTGAATTAAATGCAAAAGAAGTAAGTGACTTTAATTCTAAATGACTGAATTCAGACGGGGGTTGAGGCAATTTACTTAATTTACAAGTCATACCTTTAGTTAATTCAGATTAATTTTTCCAAGCACTCCCATGTAAACAAGAATTAGGAATCTAATGACCCTTTTCCTTGTATAACTCCTGCGTATTATCTGGGGGAAGTGAAAGGGATTGAAGAAATATGGCAAGGTTTCCTGCCTGCCCCTCTGACAGCTGAAAAACTGGGCTAATACAACAGCTGGAAAGAAATTCAAAAAGGGTCTGAAGACAGAAAGTCTTCTCTTACCCCTTCATACTCTGTCTCTTGGTTAGTTCTGTCATAGTAGGTATCATAGTAATTCCCATCATACTCTTTTATTGTCTCTTCGGTGAAGTCTTTATCTTGGTCGTCTCCTCCTTGCCCCGTTCCCACCTCGGCCTGAAAAGAAGAACAGAAGCATGGGTCAGACAATAGATGACCTTTAACCCACCACATGTTCTAAAAACTAAGGGGAGAGCTTTAGGATGTCTCCAAACAGAGAGGCGCTTTATGACAATGGCCCCAAGGAAATGCAAATACAAGGAAATAACGAAAGGGTGTTTAGTAAAGTAGCATCTCTACTGGATTCTAGAGTCCACCAATGGACTCCTTCAAGGGGACTGGCAAGATACAAAATGCTGCACCCATACAGAACTCAATATGAATTTCCCATGGGCTTCCTATATGCTTCATGAAATATATTGCAAGTGTAAAACATCATGTGTGGAAAACAGAGAGAGCATGAACAATAACACATGACAAAAAGTTCCAGACACTCCACCTTAAGAGGCCTGAGGCTAAATGCTCCACTACCAGCTCATTTCACACCCCAGAGAGTCAAACCTCCAGGTTAACAAGCATACAGAAATGTACATCTGGTCTCATATCTAAAATTCATACTGAAATATTAATTTATCATTATGAATCCCACATGTTACAAAGACCCTCCCATTTTTGATGGGGGGCGGTTCCTTTTGTTCACTCCTGAGCTGTTCTGAGATCCAACATTACAGTGAGACTTGTTCCAAAAGCAGAGCACTGCAGGTGTGCACTTTTGCAAAACTTAGTTATTGGAGGGGGGCCGATTCATTCACCAGCACACATTTCTCCGTAAACATATTACTCCCTTCTCTGATTCCTAAGAGGAAATATATATTCAATCGCTCAGCAAATAAGAACATCTAGACAATGCATCAGAATTTCCTTGCTTCTGTCCAAGCCCATATGCAAACAATGACATCATACTTCTGTAACTAGGGCATCCTTGAATCTAAAGACCCTTGTAAAGAAGTATGATTTGATGGGAGCACAGATTTTTCTCCTGTGCACGTAATAATGAAAATGGTCCATAGCCTTAATTACTTCCACCAGTTCAGAGAGATGTTCTTTCACCATCAGAAAGGAAGAATGTAAAGTTGCTGTAATATGTCACCTTCCATTCCAATCCTTGTTCTTGGGCCAAAACTGCTCATATTCCATAAGTACGAGCATTCGTGTCCAATCTGAAAGAGGTCTTACAACATAGATAAGCTAACACTGTTGGCTTTTTTAACTCTGCAAAGGCCAAGTGTTTGTCAAGGAAATCACAATTTAGCTATCACTCTCAGCTTTTCTTCTCTCACTTAACAGATGCACATTCTGCCATGCTGGCAAAACCAGAAATGAAAACAGAGTCCTGGAAAAATTCTAAACTCCTGTGAGTCTGAAGGAATTTAGCTACTTCTGCACCACCTTTTCCTCTCCTTCACCCAGTGGAAATTTCTCTCTCACTGTTCAGCAGACCAGACGTTCTCTTAGCAAGACCTCACATTTCCTTAGAGTCAATTTAACCGTAATTGTGCGGATCTCAGAATCTGTTTTGTGCCATAAACGTGGAACATCCTAACTGGAAGTCCTTCTTGTTTGAAATGTTAAAACTTACAAACTCAAAAGCGAAGTCTTTGCGATTTTTTTTCCAATTTATTTTTAAACAAATCAATTTGCTTGGAAAAGAAGCAATGTTTGGAATTTGTTGACAGAAGGGGGTTTCGGTGTGAAAATTTGACATTTGAGGGGAAGTTTGAGGGGAAAAAAAGCCCTCAAATAGTTTGGATCACAAGGGGACCTGAAAAAACAGAGACAAAAATCACACCCAAAAGTTAGCGAATTTCTTCTGTCACTTTCAAACAACCTCATAGAAACCAAGTTTTCCATCAATCCTTTTGTTGGGAAATTAAGCAGATAAGAATTTAAAATTTTGACATCTGCTTCTGGTAGAGAATATCTTGCTCCCTATAGATCAGTCATCGAACAAAGCATATTTTCACCTCGTTTCCATATTTCACAGGCATACTTCTCCATACTGAATTTTCAGAACAGCTTTACTGGCAGTTATCACACAGTTATTAGCCACCGTGTAATCTAATTCCAATGTGAACTCAGTTCATTGACTAGCTCTGCTTCCAAAACCCCCATGCTCAGTCTCCAAAAGTTGCATTTTTATAAACCCAAGTTACCCCATTTGTGAACTTCTGCTAGTTCTCCGCTCACAGTTTCCATCTGAGTCCAATTTTAGAATGGCAGTCCCCAGCATTATTAACAGGCCTGGTCTAATGTTCACAGTGCGCGTTTCCTGTGACAGGAATTTAGGAATTGCCATACTGGATTCAGACCAGTATCCTGTTTCCAAGAGGGTCCAGTGTCAGCCGCTTCAGGAAAAGAAACTTCCAGAAATTTGTGGGATTTATTGCCCACTCTCTCCAATTCCCCATTATTTCAACTTTCCAATTCCATATTCCACTAAACAGCAAACTGCCCTTTTCTGCTGTTGCTGGGCCCAATCCAGCCACTGCTGTATGTAAACAAACCCTGCAACTGTTGCATGTAACTCCATGTTTTGCCCTGGGGCGGAGAGCCATTCTGTTTCTTGAACCAGGTGAAGAATGATCGTTAAATCACAAGTGACAGCCAGGCAGGGCTGAACATCCGTCCATTCAAAGGCTCAGGGTTTGCAAGAACGGTCTCCCCCAGTCTTTGCACGGCTGCTGGGGTTCGTGTGCAACGAGGCAGGATGCATTTTCAATCCTCTCAACTGTTCCCTATCTCCGAGCGGAATCCCATTTCTCATCACAAAAATCAGATGCAGATTTCAGCTTCAAGACCGCAGGGCCCCCATTTCTACCTCCCTCTTGAGCATTTCGGTGCGCTGCTGTATTCTCATGAACATTAGAATCCTTCCAAGTCCACAGTGAGATGTAGGGCCTGTGTCTTCCACCCACTGATTTGGACATGAATACATTGGTCGGTTGCCCTTCTATTTGGTCGGAACGTATGCCAGACCCATCAATATACAAAAATCCTCAGCTTGCTCACAAGCGTTTCCCTTGTTCTTCCTGCCTTGGCTTTAAACCAGCTTGGATCAGCTCAGATGGGTAGTAGCCCGAACCTCACATTAAGGGTTCTCCTCAGGTCAAGACAACTCATTCTCTTTTTGGGGGCTAATTCCAGCTGCACCATTCAATCTGATCCATTCAAGCTAGCTGCTAAGCCTACGGACTCCCTGTTCCTTTCATCAACCATTCATTGGCATCAAGATGTTAAATGGGGAAAAATTATTCGCTCCGGAGACTGGTTTTCCCCTTCTAACACTGAATGCTTCCATTTTACACCCACGGACAGGCCACTCTCTGTTTCACCTTCCCATGTGCCCTGTCGTTCATCCTGGAGTTAAAGCTTAGGCACTAACGTGTTTTCTTAGCTGAAGCTTGTTTCTTTTCTGATTCTAACAACCAAATTGGTCTTTGAGCCTTTCATTTCCTTACCCGGGCATTTTCCAGAGTCATCCCATCCCATCCTATCTGTAGCTTCTCTCCTAGTTACGTCCACACTGCACATTTATTTTGGAATAAGCTATTCCAGAATAGTTATTCTGAAATAGCTTATTTCAAAATAGCACGACTACACTGCAGGGAAGCCTCAAAATTAGTCCGAGGCGGGCTTCCCTAATGTAGACGTGCTATTTCGATTTAGAGCCCCAGGAGGCAGTAGGGAGGAATAAGTTAGAATGGCCCTGGTGAGGGGCTATTTCAAAATAGCAGAAGTGGAGCGTCTACACAGCCCCTATTTTGAAATAACTATTTCGGAATGGGCAGTATTCTTTGTAAAATGAGGTCTACAGAAGTCGGAATAAGCCTCCTGTTATTTTGAAATTGTCTCAAAATAACACTATTGCTGTGTAGACACTCGCATTCTTATTTTGGAATAATGCCATTATTCCAAAATAACTTTGCAGTGTAGACACATCCCTACAGAGTTCTTGTTTAGCCAAAGAATTCTGGCTGGTGTATATTTCCTGGGCAACTTTCTCATTTATTTGTTTGTTCAGACTGGTGCTCAGTTCCACAACAAGTTTTACCAGGCCACCGTATCTCTTCATACAGCCTACCTCTCTTCCCTCACTGTATTTTTTTATTCCCAATTGACTGGACTTGATCTCTGCCTTGGGATTTTCTTTCGTCTGTCACTGGCTCCTCTCCTGTCTCACTTTTTAATTCATTCTGGGAGACATCTCTTCCCCAATTTTAATTCTCTTGGCTGGCCTTTGCTGCTTCTTGGGCACCTTTCATTGCTTCCAGGACAGGTGTATTTTTGGTGTCAGTATGACAACTAAATTCTCCCTATCTACTTTAAGAGCAACCAACAACTTCTGCCAGTGCAAAAATTATCGTCTGGGAAACAGTCTCCCTCCATGGACATCTAGTGTCAAGGTTTCTGGGCAGAGGAGTTTGGGAGAGGGCTATTTCCTTGTAATGAGAGAAATTTAGTAGGCACAGACATGGCATTTTTAGTCCAATTTGATGATAACACCAAGAGGGACTTTTCTGAACATCAATATTACATCGCAAGAGCTGGACACGTTAAATACAGACTATTCAGGAAACAACCAGAACTCCAGAATGCAGATGTATTCAAGCTTACAGGCAAACTTCTTTTACTTACCTCTGCCCAGTTAGATAAAAGGTAACACAGATAACAGGTGTCACGAAATGAGACAACACAAAATGGACTGTCTACATTACTTAAGTGTCTGTGAATTGCTCAGTAACTCAACCAATTATTGCTAGAGTAGGTCAGGGCAAAAAGGGAACAGTTTTGGGAAAAATATAATTTTACCCTTTAGAATATTGAATTTTTGAAAGTTCACATGTTTTGAACAGTGACCTGTCTAGCACAGAGAAGGAATTTTTAACAACATTTAATTTCAAAATTTTTTTGAATTTCTATTAGCTTTAGGTAATTGTCCTTAGGGTGCTTTGCAGCAGACTTTTGTTGGATTTGTTGAATTTCTGGCATGGAGATTTCCCTCCATATCCTAGTTAATTTCTTTTTAGAAATGCTGTGAGAATTTCCCCACATCTGTATATTTAATAGAAACTGGCCAAGAAATTATGACAACGGTGACAATTTTTCACATATGGGTGGAAGCGATAACATTTTGGGGAAGGAGGAATAGACCTGCTTGAACAATGAACTGATTTGTAGGGAGTGCAATACATTTCATCCAAAACATACAGGGAGAGAGTCACCAGAAAAACATAATCATCCACCACATGTTCATTGTGAAAGTTTGAACCTCGTCTCACTATTACTAGAACTGTTAGGAACATATAACACCTGTAGCCACGATAAGTTTTGACACTTCAAAAGAAGCTCCCAATTCCAAATGGGAACAAAAATATGAAACATTAAAAAATGTCCAAAGAATTTTGAACTGAAAAGATCAGAATGAAAAAACGACATTTCCTATCAAATCAACAGTTTGTTTGTTTGTCTTTTAAATTAACTGATGATTCCAAATTGAAACACTATTTATTTTGATTCTCACGGCTGGGAATTTTTTAAAAAAATTAGTCAAAACCACCCTTTGCCTGGGCAAAATATTGATTTTGACTAACCCCAGATTTTCTGACAGGAAAACTTTTTCCATGAGAAAAATTTCAATGAGTTCTGTGTAGCAGTGCTGTGTTCACACAGGAAAAATGCAGGAGGATGAATATTGTTCAGGGAGGCCCTTTTCTCTACAAGTGCCTTGGACAGTTTAAGTTTTCCATAAGGACTATCACATGAGACCCTTTGCTATAAAGGATTAAAAATATCAAAGAAAAAACTCCTTGAAGGAAATTACATTGGTTGCGTTGGGGGTGATGACTGTGCTGGCGGGAATTTCTGCTTCAACAGCTTCTTCAGTAAGGATATCCGGATTGTCTACTTCTCCATAGTTGATGTCTTCATAAGGGAGGGGAGTGTAGTACTCCTCGTTAATGGTTTCATAATTATATTCGTCCACGATGGGGTCATCCACCTTCTCCTCCTCTTTCGTTTCCTGCCTGTTTTCCATCACTGTGGGTGCTTGTGTGGGTGGAGGGGTGAGTTCCTATTGTAAAATACAAACAGTGTCCAAGTTAGAGAAAATAGGATATTCTGGTTCTCTTACCAGCTAAGACAGGGGGTTGAGAATGCCTTTCTGTCTAAAACTGGAAGGCTCCTTAAAACCAAGCAGGGACCTGACTGATAGCTCAGTGAAAAGCTGTAAGGACCTAGAACAGTGTTTCTTAAACTTTTTAAGACCGAGGAACACCAAACAATATATATTTTTAATGAGGAATACCAAGGTTTTTATGATGAGCAGAAAAAAAGAGGGGGGGTTATTGACCCCCTCCCCCCAAAAAATGGCAGAAAGTTATTGAGGAAAAAAAAGTCGCCTGCCCCTTTAAGGGCGGTCATTTTGAACTCTTGTTGTTTAAAACAGTGTAAGAAACACTGACCCAGAATGATGTTTTCAGCAGTGACTACTAATTTTGGGTGTGTTGTGAGAGACCTACAAGCTTGATTTTCAGATGTTCAGAGCAACTGGTAGCAACACGATCTGGGGAGACTCAGCTGCTCTGAAAATCTGGCCCGAGTGGTCTCGGGCTGGTGTTCCAAAACTAGCAGGCACTTCTGAAAATTTAGGCCTCAACATTCAGGGATTCAAAATGCACAATAGAAAAAAAATTCTGAAGGCAAAAGCGACTACCACTGCGGAAGTGATGTTGCCTACGCTGTGCAATTTTTACATGGGGGTGCAATTTTTGCATGGAGTAACCTATTAATTCTCGCTTTAATCCAGCTAGCACAGGTTAAAATACTAGTGTAGGTCTGGCAGCACAAGGACATTAATCAGGGTATAAGCTGAACCCACGCTGTCAAGTCGATACCAGTATTGTGAGCGGTGCTAGTGTAACCTACACACCTAGCATGGTTACTGAGCAATGCAAGTGGTACCTAGACCACAGCAACAATTAAGATCAAGAGACCTCTACAGCATGGGCTGGGAGCCAGCTGGCTTTTAGCTCAGAAGGTAGAGGCTCCTATACTCAGCTCCCGAGATCCCAGGTTCAAATCCACCTGGTGGTGGTTACGCTAGCTAGATTCAAGCTAGCACGGACGTGCCTATCTGTGCAACAATCACACAGTCAGCGTAGACACATTCTTAGTGCACAAAGGCACTACCTTGCCTCAAGCATATTTTCCAGGTGCAGACCATCGCAAGATCCCTCAAGCTCTTCTGGGGGGATGAGGCATCATATACCACCAAGCTTTTTATGCAGCCTCATTCATCTCAAAGTTCAGGCCTCACATTACTATGGAAACCTCACACGGCCGTGCACAAAGCACCAATGCAAAGCACCAATCTACAGTAGTTGCGTCCGTGGTAAGCCTCCAGCTTTTCACCTCTATGCCATGCGTTTGTCTATAAAAATTAAGAATGGCCCAAGACTTTGAATCAGGGCTGGGCAAGATGCAGCCCGGGGGCTGGATCCGACCCACTGAAGACTTTGATCGGTGGATGGCATCTGGCCGCTTTCTATTTATATCCTGCTGCCCGTGCCTCTGAATTTCCAGGCAGTGGCTCAGGCAGCAGGATCCTATTTAAATGGCTCCGGCTCCCAGTCACAGTGCTACCCCGGCAGGGGCGAGAGCTGCAAGCCCTTTAAATGGTCACAGCGACCCTGGCGGCTGCCAGGCAACACAGTAACAGCTTGGCTGGGAACCATGAGTCCTTTGCGGTGTTTTCAATTCAAAGTCTCCAACCCCAGACAACTCTGCCCCACCCCTTCTGCCTTAGGCCCCACCCCTACCTGGGGGTGGAACCAGCCTGTGACCGCATACTGAAATTCATTAAGTGCCCCCCCCCCCGTAAAAATTACTGCCTACCCCTGCTTTAAATAAAGCACAAGACAAAACAAAACAGGAACCCCGTTTCCTCTCTCTCTCACACACACACTCACACACACACAAACACACACACACCCTAGTCACCTACCTCTTTAATTTCAGTCACCTCTCTAACAGCTTCTTCAGCATCAGCAGGCTTGGTAGTGGGTGGTTCTGCCTTTCCTGCGTCATCGGTGTCCTCATAGTAGGGATATTCATAATAATAGGTGTCACTTTCACCATCTCCCTCCGTGTACTGTAGAGGAACCACAGCAAGAAAGAAGGTGAAGGCAGATGACCTGTCAGGAAGTTCCCTGGCAGTGGTTGCTAGGCCAGGTGAATTTTATATTCATATGTTCATGTAAAGGGCCCGATGCTGTGGCTGCGTGCTGCAGAAGCAACAATGGTAGCTGGGAGCCCTGGGCCTTTGTACTTTGACTGACCGGGCCGGGGGGAAACTGCCCCCTTTGCCCTCCCGCCCCCATTGGTGGGCCTGTGTACTGCTAAGCATTTTTTTAAAAAATGTGGGTGAGATAGATCCTGATTCTGCAAGCTAATTAAGCACGTGCCTAATATTAAGCATGAGAATAGTTCAACTGAAGTACTTAAGCACCTTCCATATTTCCTATTTTTCTCATCCTTCACTCCTTCTTTCTATGGATATAGGTGAGAGGATTATTCCAAGAGTGGGAGGGTGAGATTTTGTGGCCTGCATTGTGCATGGGGTCAGACTAGATGATCATAATGGTCCCTTCTGACCTTACGTCTATGAGTGTATGAGGGTCTGTCTACACTGCCACCCTAGTTCGAACTAGGGTGGCTAATGTAGGCATTCGAAATTGCAAATGAAGCCCGGGATATTTAAATCCCGGGCTTCATTTGCAATTTCGAATGCCTACACTAGCCACCCTAGTTCGAACTAGGGTGGCTAATGTAGGCATTCGAAATTGCAAATGAAGCCCGGGATATTTAAATCCCGGGCTTCATTTGCAATTTCGAATGCCTACACTAGCCACCCTAGTTCGAACTAGGGTGGCTAATGTAGGCATTCGAAATTGCAAATGAAGCCCGGGATATTTAAATCCCGGGCTTCATTTGCAATTTCGAATGCCTACACTAGCCACCCTAGTTCGAACTAGGGTGGCTAATGTAGGCATTCGAAATTGCAAATGAAGCCCGGGATATTTAAATCCCGGGCTTCATTTGCAATTTCGAATGCCTACACTAGCCACCCTAGTTCGAACTAGGGTGGCAGTGTAGACATACCCTGAGATATTTGCTCTCTACGAGGTTCTTGTTTTTTCAGGGTTCATCAGCTCCTGCGATCCACTTTGCTTACAGTATATTTGGAGCATTGCTTTTGATTACTTTAGAAATTGAGATTTGTGATTAAAGAATAATCTCTCATAATCCTATGGCATATTGTGCCCTAATAATGCTAACATGCTTTGCAGGCTGCATAATATCCTTTCAGCTACCCCTGAAATGCAGCTGCTTCTGGGGTAGAAGTTGGCAACTGTCTCACAATGCACAGCAACATGTGCCAGGATAACAGAAGAAGCATAAAGAAATCCTGTAATTTAATTTTAGGGGGAATTTAAGGAGATGGAATTAATTTATCCAAACTTGAATTTGGCCAGTACTCCAGCATTCACACTCATGTTGAACAGTACAAAATAGTCAGCGCCTCTTCTTTTAGCCAAACTCAGATGGGAGAAAAGCAACTTGAGACAAATAAGCTGTTAAAGAAGTAACATTTCTGTTTTCATCTGCAGCCTTACAGACTGAGCAGCCTGTAGTAGAAATGGCTTCTGAAATAGGACATTTTCAGAGTTGTCAATAAGATGCCACTTTTTAAAATGAAATACAAACAAGACTTTTTGTTGCAAGTGGGTGTGACAAATTCCTAACCCAGTACACTGTTTTTCTTGCTATTTAAAGGCCATTCATGGGCTAATTATTCTTGCACAAAATTCCATAGAGCAACAAGGCCCCTCCAAGACAAGCCCTTTGTAGCTCATTTTGATTGGTGAGCAACTGCATCCAAAAATATATTTAATTCCCCTAGCATCCTTCCAGATTTTAACCACAGCGGAGTCTATTTTCTTGTACTTATTTATTGCTTCCGCTTCTTTAGAGCACATGTTTTTATTATAAAAAAAAAAGCAATGAGCCTTTATGTTTCTTTAGACAGAAGCAGGGCATTGAGGGTAATCTAAGGTCCAGAGAAATCAACGGAAAGACTCCTATTGGCTTTAACGTGAGTTGGATCAGACATAGGTGTGACTATAGCAAGGGTTTTGGCTGAGGCTTTCAAAAATGACTAGTGATTCTGGGTGCCAAACTTGAGACATCTTAACGAGCCTACACTTCAGAGAGTAAGTGTCAGCAGATTCTGGAAATCGGCCCCTTTAAAAAGTCTCTAGTCTCAAAAATAAAAGGAACCCATAGCCACTAGTCACAATTAAAAATGTTGGTCTAACATAAGACCATCCATACTGGGTCAGACCAAAGGTGTCACAGCGGCCAATACCAGATAGAATCATAGAACTCTAGAACAGGAAGAGTTCTCAAGAGATCATCAAGTCCAGTTCCCTGCCCTCATGGCAGGATGGAGCACGGACTAGACCATCCCTGACAGGTGTCTGTCTAATCTGCTCTTAAATCTCTCCAGTAATGGAGATTCCACAACCCCCCGAGGCAATTTATTCCAGTGTTTCACCATGCTGACAGTTAGGAATTTTTTCCTAATGTCCAACCTCAACCTCCCCTGCTGCAGTTTAAGCCCATTGCCTCTTGTCTCATCTTCAGAGGTTAAGGAAAATAATTTTCCGCCTCCTCCCTGTGACACCCTTTTAGATACCTGAAAACCACTATCATGGCCCCTTTCCATCTTCTTTTTTTTCCCAAACTAAACAAGCCCAATTCCTTTAGCCTTGCTTCATAGCTCATGTTCTCTAGGCCTTTAATCATCTTTGTTGCTCTTCTCTGGACCTTCTCCAGTTTCTCCACATCTTTCTTGAAATGAGGTGCCCAGAACTGGACACAAGACTCCAACTGAGGCCTGATCAGCGCAGAGTAGAGCAAGCCAGATGCCCCAGAGGGAGTGAACAGAATAGGGAATCATCAAGTGATCCCTCTCCTGTCACCCATTTCTATCCTAGGGATGTAAGTGACTAGTCAACTAGTCCCTCACCTAGTCCCTGTATCAGAGGCAGCAAGGGGAGGAGCAGGAGCTGGTTCCCCCCAGCACCATGTTCATTGGGGGCAGGGGAGGCAGAAGGGTAGTGGGGACCAGGCGCGAACTGGGAATCAGCTGACTCCTGGCTCACACCCGGTCCCAGATGCTGCACCTCTGCTTTTTAAATGTATTAAGAGACTGACAGCTCTTAATACAGTTAAAAGGCAGAGCCACAGCGGGTTTAACTCCCGGGCCTGGGAGCTAATCCCACTGCGGCTCCACAGTTTTCCCCACTTATTGACTCAATTGACTAGTCGATGGAAATTCCATCGACTAGTGGATTAGTTGATTGAACTAAATTTAACATCCCTATTCCATCCCTCTGGCAAACAGAGGCTAGAGATACCATTCCTAACCATTCTGGCTAACACTTTCTCCTAACTATGTGCCACAGAGCTTATCCAAGAACTTACGGGATAATTACAAATCTGTTTGGAACATTTTGGTTATAATGAAATTTCAACCAAAACCAGAAAACAAAACTGAGATGTTTTCCCCTCACTGTTTTTGACCACACCAAAGAGCTTATATTTCAAAAATCAGTTGAGATTATGAAAACTGTACACATGAAATATTTCGTTGGCATTTAGAAAGTGATACAGAGATATTATAATAGTCGGCTGCAGCAGTTAGTGAGGTCGCAGTTCTCAAACTTGGGATGCTACATGTAGGGTAAACCACTCTGCTTCCTATGAGCCGTAGCACCCAAATACTCAAGGCTTGTCTACATGGTGATTTAGTGTGCACTGAGCCGAGCTGTATGTCTACAGCATATAAACTTTTAGTGAATGGGAGCATAATCCACCTGACCAGTTATTATGTGTCAAGTTAATGTGTTGTACATTCACACTGTGGATACACACTTGCTACTCACTCTATCATCCTGCAGACAACTCATTTCACGCTCTGAGAAAACAAGGAGCAGAAAAAACAACCAATCGACTGAAGTTCACATAGTGACTCAGCAGCAAAGCTAGGACTAGAATCTATAATTCCTGAGAGCTAGGTGTGTGTACACCACACAGACACAGAGGTTTTAGAGGCTGTTCTGAGCACTTACAATGTAGCATCAGTTGCCTGGACTCAAGCTCTTAAAGAAAAAAACGTCCAGGTTACAAGGCCAAACAGTTATTCTACCTTGGCAGCATTTCACCGTCCATGCTCCAGGATGCCTTCCACTGTTGTATTGTACAATGCATTTTTGCAACCACAGAGGTTGGGGAAAGCAATCCAAGACAAACCAGTGACTTATTGAAAGAGACTCGGTAAAAATTAAACAGAAGTTAAAAAACAAACATGTGTGATCTCAGTTCATAGACACCGTGCATCTGCTTATTTACAGTGAGTCTGGCAGCAAGCTGCTCCCCAATAATTATTTTTTCCCCTTGCAATTGTTACTGGAACCCATTGCCGGCTTTTCATTCCTCTTACATTTCCAGGGTTCCCTATCCTCTCAGCCCTCTTTGATCACAGCTGCTGTGAACACTGTTGTCTTGGATTCCTTCTTCTCAACAAATTCTCCCTCCAGAGTTTTGATGCATTGGTACCCAAACCTGGGTGTCCCTCTGGGGGGGATACTTTGTGGGAGCATGAAGCAGTTACCCTAAACTATGGTGCATGTGTAACCTACACACCTAGGGTGTGTCTAGACTACTGAGTTTTGTCGACAAAAGTGGACTTTTGTCAGCAAAACTATACCTGCGTCTACACTACCGCTGAGTTCTGTTGACATAATGTCGACAGAACTCAGCAGTTTTGTCGACACTGGTAAACCTCATTTTACGAGGCACAACACCTTCTGTTGACAGAGTTCTGTCGACAGAAGGTGTTATTGCCTGTAGGGTTGCGTCTAGACTACAGGGTTTTGTCAACAAAGCAGCTTGCTTTGTCGACAGAACTGAATGTGTCTAGACGCTCTATGTCGACAGAAGTTTTGTCAACAGTATCTGTCGACAAAACTTCTGTCGACAAAACCCTGTAGTCTAGACGTACCCCTAGTGTGGTTACTGAGTACTGCAAGTGGCACCTAGACCACTGCAACAGTTAAGATCAAAAGACCACTACAGCATAGACTGGGAGCCAGCTGGCTTTTAGCTCAGAGGGTAGAGGCTCCTATAGTCAGGTCGCAGGTTCAAATCCACCTTGGTGGTGGTTGCACAAGTACAGGTTCTTCTTTTCTACTTACGTATTCATCTGGATTAGGGTCTTGAGACTGCGGGGTGTCTGGAATGGCTGTGTCGCAGTCAGGGCTGTAGTGTTCACAATAATCATAGGCTGCCCTGGGGTCCGCCACGACCAGGAGCTGCTGGATGTCCCCCTGAGGGAATAAAAACAAGAAAGAAATCCGACATAAGTCAAAGAGTCAGCGTTTAAGAACAGACGGGGCCACTCGCTCATCTTGTTTGACATCCTGCATAGTACAGGCCGTCAGTAACCCCAAGCCACAAGCACAGTAACCCAACAGTTGAAATTACATTAAAGCCCTCAGGAGGCTAAACCATCATGTCCACAAGCAGAGTACAAATAGGTCCGAGGTGCACCACCACCTGGGGCCCTTCCAGTGCAGAGAAGTAAGTGAGATAGACCCAGATCCTCCCAGGAAGGGTCCCCCTACTGCTGAGGAAGGCAAAAACAAAGCAGCCAAGCCAATTAGACCAAGAGAAAAATTCTTCCTATCCCCAAAATAAGGTGACCAGGGAGAGCCTGAGCATGTGAGCCAAGTCCACCCGCCAAGCACTTGAGGAGAAAGAATTCCCCTCCCCATGCCCATCTTCAATCATGGCCACTTCTGAAGCATTGGAGGAAGCAGACGGAAAAGCTCAGAATACACCACAGGGAAAACAATGCCCCTCTTGACCCCTACCGGTGACCAGCTGAAATATGGGACAAGAAAGACGCATGGGGTCATAGTACCACTGGGCTAAAGACTGGAGCCTGTACTCTGCTCTTACGCAAACAAAAGACTGAGGAATGACAGGAGGTAGAGGCCTAGTAAGCACGCTAGTCTCCTGCCCTCAAGTAATGTAGGACTGTTCAGGAACTTGGCCCGTGACAAGCCAGCTCACAAAATCCATTATCTTGGGCTGCGCATCAAGCATCCACTTCAGCCCTCGCTGTTTACAAGGGTGTGAAGCGAAGGCGAACGTAAGCGGGTACGCCCCGGTGGAGGAATGACAGGAGGTAGAGGCCTAGTAAGCACGCTAGTCTCCTGCCCTCAAGTAATGTAGGACTGTTCAGGAACTTGGCCCGTGACAAGCCAGCTCACAAAATCCATTATCTTGGGCTGCGCATCAAGCATCCACTTCAGCCCTCGCTGTTTACAAGGGTGTGAAGCGAAGGCGAACGTAAGCGGGTACGCCCCGGTGCAGCGTACCAGCAAGAAAGTGGCTGGGTGGGGGGGGGGGGGGCAGCCTTTTACACGCAG